TGTCTGTCAAACAAATAAAATCTTTAAATAATAATAATAATAAAGAAATGAGAAACATGCTTGATGGAATGAACAGAGGTTGGAAGAAGCAGAGAAATGAATTAGTGACCTAGAAGACAAAGTAATGGAAAGTAATCAAGCTGAACAAGGGGGAGAAAAGAATTATGCAAAATGAGAATAAACTGAGGGAGCTCAGTGACTCCATCAAATGTAATAGCATTCATATTATAGGAATCTCAGAAAAAAAGAGAGAGAAAGGGGGGGCAGAAAATTTATTTGAAGAAATAAGAGCTGAAAATTCCCCCAGTCTTGGGAAAGAAAGAGATATCCAGATCCAGGAGGCACAGAGAACCCCCAACAGAATCAACAAAAGCAGACCAGCACACAGACATATTGTAATTAAATTTGCAAAATATAGTGATAAAAAATTTTAAAAGCAGCAAGACAAAAGAAGTCATTAAATTACAAGGGAAAACCCATAAGGCTAGCAGGAGATTTTTCAACAGTAACTTTGCAAGCCAGAAAGGAGTAGCATGATATATTCAAAGTGCTGAATGGGAAGAATCTGCAGCCAAGAATACTCTACCCAGCTAGGCTATCATTCAGAATACAAGGAGAGATAGAGTTTTCCAGACAAGCAAAAACTAAAGGAGTTCATGACCATTAAACCAGCTCTGCAAGAAATATTAAAAGGGACTCTGAGTAGAGAAACCCAAAGTGACGGTATAGAGGTAGGAAACACAAAAGCAGTAAAAATGAATTTTTCTGCAAAAAAATCAAGGAACTCACAAAAAAGATATAAAATACAATAATGTATACCTAAAAGGTGTGGGGGACAGGAGAAAAGAATGTGTTCAAACTTAAATGACCATAAAAAATATAGACTGCTATATGCAGAAGAGGTTATATGCAAACCTAATGGTAACCACATATCAAAAGCCACTAATAGATGTGCAATAGATATCCAGATATATCATTAAAGAAAATAAGCAAAACATGAAAAAAGTCAAGAAAGGATCAGAGAAGAGCTTCAGAAACAACCACAAAACAAGTAATAAAATGGCAATAAATATGTATCTATCAGTAATTACTTTGAATGTAAATGGGCTAAATGCTGCAATCAAAAGACGCAGGGTGACAGAATGGATAAAAAAAAAAAAAGAGCCATCTATTTGCTGCCTGCAAGAGGCCCATTTTAGACCTAAGGACACCTACAGATTGAAAGTGAGAGGATTGAGAAACATTTAACATGCAAATGGATGTCAAAAGAAAGCCAGAATAGCAACATTTATATCAGACAAAATAGACTTTAAAACAAAGACTGTAACAAGAAGCAAAGGAGGACAATATATAATAGTAAAGGGGATAATCCGACATGAAGATATAACAATTGGAAATATGTATGCACCCAACATAGGAGCACCCAAATACATAAACCAGTTAATAACAAACATAAAGGAACTACTCCATAATAATATAATAATAGTAAGGGACTTTAACACCACACTTACATCAAGTGGACAGATCATCTAAACAGAACATCAACAAGGAAACAATGGCTTTGAATGACACACTGGAACAGAAGGATTTCACAGATATATTCAGAACATTAGCTTCTAGAACAGCAGAATACACATTCTTTTCAAATGCACATTCATGATTAAAAATCCTTAACAACATAAGTTTAGAGGGAACATACCTCAACATAATAAAGGCCACCTGTGAAAAACCCACAGCTAACATCATCCTTAATGGGGAAAAACTGAGAACAAGACAAGGATGTCTACTCTCACCACTTGTATTCAACATAGTACTGTAAATCCTAGCCACAGCAATCAGACAACAAAAAGAAATAAAAGGCATCCAAATCAGCAAGGAAGAAGTCAAGGTTTCACTATTTGCAGATGACATGATACTATATATAGAAAATCCTAAAGGCTCCACCAAAAAATTGCTAGAACTGATAAATCTAGTAAAGTCACAGGATACAAAATCAACGTACAGAAATCTTCTGCATTTCTATACACTGATGAAGTGACAAGAAATTAAGAAAACAATCCCATTTACAATTACATCCAAAATAAGACACCTAAGAATAAACCTAACCAAAGAGGTGAAAGACCTGTACTCTGAAAACTATAATTCACTGATGAAAGAAATTCAAGACAACACAAAGAAATGGAAAGACATTCCATGCTCACAGACTGGAAAAACAAATATTGTTAAAATGTCTATATTACCCACAGCAGTCTACAGATTTATTGCAATCTGCAGAGGCATTTTTCACATAACTAGAACCAACAATCCTAAAATTTGTCTGGAACCACAAAAGACCCAAAATAACCAAAGCAATCTTGAAAAAAACAAAAGCAAAGCTGAAGGCATCACAATTCCAGACTTCAAGTTATATTTCAAAGCCATAGTTACCAAAACAGTATGGTACTAGCATAAAAACGATGTGGAGACAAAAGAACACTCAGGTACTGTGGGGAATGCAAACTGGTGCAGCCACTGTGGAAAACAGTATGGCAGTTCCTCAAAAAAGTTAAAAATAGAACTGCTTTATCATCCAGCAATCGCACTGCTGGGTATTTACCAAAGAATACAAAAACACTATTTCAAAGGGATTTATGCCCCTCGATGTTTATAGCAGCATTATTTACGATAGCCAAGGTATGGAAGCAGTGTAAGTGTCCATGGATTGATGAATGGATAAAGAAGATGTGATATGTAGTTATAGATACAGATATAGATATATCCACACAATGGAATATTATTATTCAGCCATAAAAAGGATGGAATACTGCCATTTGCAACAACATGGATGGAGCCAGAGAGTATATATATTGCTAAGTGAAATAAGTCAGTCAGAGAAAGACACCACATGATTTCACTCGTATGTGGAATTTTAGATACAAAACAAGCAAAGGGGAAAAAATAAGACAAAGCAAGAAACAGACTGTTAACTATAGAGAACAATCTGATGGTTAAGGGGAGGATGGGTGAAATAGTGATGGGGATTAAGGAGTACACTTGTCTCAGCACAGGGTGAAGTATGGAACTGTTGAAATACTCTATTGTACACCTGAAACTAATATATCACTGTATGTTAACATACTGGAATTAAAATGAAAAATTAAAAAACAAAATGTAGCTAATTATCCTTTTGTTTATAATAGAATGAGTAGGAAGGCCATGGATTATTAATGGTTACCTGATCAAATGCCTTGCCTTCAGGTGAGACCAGGCAAAAGAGAGCTTTGCTTTTCTTTCTCCAAATCTCATCAAGAGATAGGATTCATTGGCTTTCTTTTTCAAAGCATTCTGGTTATTAATGAGATTCTTTTTTTATCTTATCCATTTCCTGTGAGTATATAAGGCAAAGATTATTATTCTCAATTTATACATGGGAAACTGAAACTCAGAAAAATTAAATGAATTTGCCTATGATTTTTCATAGCTAATTAACTAGAATCAAAATCTTCATTTATTGTCTAATATGCTTAGCCTGTTAGCATTTTCTGTTTTTCAATTATAAGGCATGGTTCTCTGAAATTATTTTCATATTTACCCCAGGAAGTTAGTCATTTAATTGGAATTCTTTTTACTCAGTAATTGTCTTTCGGTCATATTGCCAACAATTTAGTTGGAGAATAGATTAGTGTACATACCCATGTAAAAACAGTTTTGAGCTTGCAATTTTACAACTATTTGTTGGTTAACATATTGGGAAGAAAATCAGATTTATGGGTTAAGCAATTAACTTTATTGGGTGGCATGAACAATTCTAATAAAGCTAGTATAAGTAATGTTTTATTACTTATGGGGCTGAATTCTTTGGCCATGTATCTTTATAACATCTGCTAATAGGTATATGTTTTGTAGTGTTGATTCTAAGATATGTAATAAATTGAAATCCTCTAGTACAATTTTTACTTGGAAGAGTTGTAAAGCTCCATATTTTATATGCCAAACATATTAATGGAAGAGTTGTAAAGCTCCATGTTTTATATACCAGACATGTTAATGGGGTTTTTATTTTATAGCAGCTTATTTTTTCTAATATTTTCATAATTTTTGTTTTCAAAGCCAGATGCTGGATTTTTTCCCCATAGATTTTGCAGTCTGACAGCTTTCTAAATGAAAAGGAATAATTTTAGTGATCCAGAAATGTGATTTCACCAAAAGCAAACGATTTTTAGTATGCCTTTGAATTGTATAACCTTCAAGCAGATTTTTCGGTATAAATCTAATTATGCCTGTCATGCTCTTGCCTTTGAACTGACTTTGTTGTTGTTTACAGAGAGGCACAAGCAGCCACTTCCAGGAATGGAAGTAGTAATTAAAATATTAAATTTGTATATTTAAGGACCTTTCAAATTTCAAAATTTACAGCAGTTTTTTGAGTCCATTTTATGCTGAATATTAAGACCCTTTTTTTAAAATGTAATTACTCTTCACTGTCTTATTAGTGTAGCTTTTCCCTACAAACAATGGCAAGTGTTAAAATTGTTACACCGCAAATTTGCCAGGGAGAAAAGTGTCAAGAGTTGCCTTTTTAAAAGTAATTCAGGAATATTGCCAAAGTATAATTTTAATTCCATTTCCTCTGATGGTATTTAGGTTTTTATTGTTATATTATGCTTCTAGTCTTACTAGTCAGCATGATTGGAGACTATAATATTGCCTGAATAATGAGAATATTTGGTAGAAAAACTGCTTGATGGGTATTCTTTACCACCAATTTTGTTGTCCTTTTAATGCTGGTAATTTCAGAAGATTATTTTTGAACATCAGAATAAGTTCTGTAAACATGAAATTATATTGTTTTGCTTTCTAATGTCATCCAAGAGTATGTAATACATAAAAGGAGGATATCTATTTAGGCGTGTAATTCCTTAAAGTATTTGTAAAAGACAAACATTTTCTTTAGGTTTAGAGATAAATAGTGGAAAGCTGCCCACAAACTGTTAAAAATAAAGATTGCGCCCTTGTTATAGGTGGCCCCAGAAGAATTTAAGACCAGCATTGGCCGTGTGAATGCATGTTTGAAAAAGGCTCTCCCAGTCAATGTGAAATGGCTGCTATGTGGTTGTCTCTGCTGCTGTTGCACCCTGGGTTGCAGCCTGTGGCCTGTTATTTGTCTCAACAAAAGAGTGAGTAACCATTTTATTGTATAACCATAGAGCTAAACTTATATGTACCAAGTATGTTACATGATTTTTTAAAAATTCTCTTCAGTGTTAGGCTCATTCTGGAGACAAGCTTGGGGACAGAGAGATAAAGTGATTTGTCCAGCCTTTTTTAACACTTTGTCACGTAATATGAGTTCCCATAATTTTATTTTATTTTTTTACTATTATTTTTTTATTAGTTTCAGGGGTAGAATTTAGTGATCCATCAGTTGCATATAACACCCAGTGTTCATTTCATCAAGTGCCCTCCTTCATGCCCATCACCCAGTCATCCCTTCCCCCCACCCACCTCCCTCCAGCAACCCTCAGTTTGTTTCCTAGAGTTCAGCATCTCTTATGGTTTGCCTCCCTCTCAATTTTCATCTTATTTAATTTTTCCTTCTCTTCATCTATGTTCATTTGTTTTGGTTCTTAAGTTCTACATATGAGTGAAATCATACGGTATTTGTCTTTCTGTGACTGACTCATTTCGCTTAGCACGATATCCTCTAGTTCCATCCACATCATTGCAAATGGCAAGATTTCATTCTTTTTGATGACTAATATTCCATTGTATATATATACAACATCTTCTTTATCCACTCATCTGTTGACAGACATCTGGGATCTTTCCATATTTTGGCTGTTGTGGACATTGCTGCTATAAACATCGGGTGCAGGTGCTCCTTCAAATCGCCGTTTGTGTCCTTTGGAAAGATATCTAGTAGTGCACATGCTGGGTTATAGGGTAGCTCTATTTTTAATTTCTTGAGGAACCTCCATACTGTTTTCCATAGTGGCTGTACCAGCTTGCGTTCCCACTAACAGCGTAAGAGGGTTCTCCTTTTTCCACATCCTTGTCAACATCTGTTGTTTCCTGAGTTGTTAATTTTAGCCATTCTGACCAGTGTGAGGTGGTATCTCATTGTCGTTTTGATTTGTATTTCCCTGATACTGAGTGATGTTGAACATCTTTTCATGTGCCTGTTGGCCATTTGTATGTTCATGTCTTCTGCCCATTTCTTGACTGGATTATTTGGTTTTTGGTGGTTGAGTTTGATAAGTTCTTCATAGATTTTGGATACTAGCCCTTTATCTGATAAGACATTTGCAAATATCTTCTCCCATTCTGTAGGTTGTCTTTTAGTTTTGTTGACTGTTTCCTTTGCTGTGCAAAGCTTTTTATTTCGATGAGGTCCTGAGTTCATTTTTGCTTTTGTTTCCCTTCCTTTGGAGGCATGTCTAGCAAGAAGTTGCTGTGGCCAAGGTCAAAGAGATTTCTGCCTGTGTTCTTCTCTAGGATTTTGATGGATTCCATTCTCACATTTAGGTCTTAACATCCATTTTGAGTTTATTTTTATGTAAGGTGTAAGAAAGTGGTCTAGTTTCATTCTTCTACATGTGGCTGTTCAATTTTTCCCAACACCATTTGTTGAAGAGACTGTCTTTTTTCCATTGGATATTCTTTTTTTTTTAACATTTTGTATCTATATATTTTTCAAAAATCTGTCCATGAAGAAGGAGCTGGGTGTTAGTTTTCTATAGGGGGGATATTCTCGTGGAGATACTGTAAGGCCAAGTTGGTCTACTTCATTTATTGTTCTTTAACAGATTCTGTGGTGCCACCGTTGCCCTGTTCAGGTTCAGGAAGCTCATTCAGTGGTATTGCAGCATCCTCATATGGCAGCTTGTCTTCTTGCCAAGCATCGTCAATCAAGTCCAAGATCCTTCCATCTCTCTGTACCTCACTGTCCATTCTCCTGCAGCTTTGATCTTGTCAGACCCGTGCCAGACCCAGCGCTCCATCTGCTTCCCTCCATTGAATATTCTTTCTTGCTTTGTCAAAGATTAGTTGACCATGGGGTTGAGGGTCCATTTCTGGGTTCTCTATCCTGTTCCATTGATCTATGTGTCTGTTTTTGTGCCAGTACCATACTGTCTTGATGATCACGGCTTTGTAATACAGCTTGAGGTCCGGAATTGTGACACCTCCATCTTTGGTTTTCTTTTTCAACATTCCTTTGGCTATTTGTGGTCTTTTCTGGTTCCATACAATGTTTAGGATTCCAGCTCCATGAAAAAAGCTGATGGTGTTTTGTTAGGGCTTGCTTTGAATGTGCAGATTGCTCTGGTTAGCATAGACATTTTAACAATATTTGTTCTTCCAATCCATGAGCATGGAAAGTTTTTCCATTTCTTGTGTCTCCCTCAATTTCTTTCATAAGTGTTCTATAATTTTCAGAGTACAGATCTTTTACCTCTTTGGTTAGGAATACCTATTCCTAGGTATCTTAGGTTTTTGGTGCAATTGTAAATGGGATCAATTCCTTGATTTCTCTTTCTTCTGCCTCATTGTTAGTATATAGAAATGCAATTAACTTCTGTGCATTGATTCTATATTCTGCGACTTTGCTGAATTCCTGTATGAGTTCTAGCAATTTTTGAGTGGAGTCTTTGGGTTTTCTACATAGAGGATCATGTTGTCTGCTAAGAGTAAGATTTTGACTTCTTTGCCGAATTGGGTGCCTTTTATTCTTTTATTTTTTTGTTGTTGTTGTCTGATTGCTGAGGCTAGGACTTCTAGTACTATGTTGAACCACAGTGGTGAGAGTGGACATCCCTGTCATGTTCCTGGCCTTAGGGAAAAAGCTCTCAGTTTTTCCCCATTGAGGATATTAGCTGTGGGTCCTTCTATATAGCTTTGATGATCTTGAGGTATGTTCCTTCTACTCCTACACTGCTAAGAGTTTTTATCAAGAAAGGATGCGTATTTTGTCAAATGCTTTTTCTGCATCTGTTGAGAGGATCATATGGTTCTTGTCCTTTCTTTTATTAATGTGGTGTATCACATTGATTGATTTGCGGATGTTGAACCACCCTGGCAGCCCAGGAATAAATCCCACTTAGTCGTGGTGAATAATCCCATGTTGGGCTCCCTGCTTATTGGGGAATCTGCTTTTGCCTCTGCCCCCCCTTCTGCTCATGCCCTCTCTCTGGCTCTCTGTCTGAAATAAATGAATAGAACCTTTAAAAAAATAAAGTATTTCTAAGCTACAACTATATGGGAGAGTTTCTTCTGCTCTGGAGAAAAGCAAAAGTGAGAGTAACCTACATAGTTGGGAGGAAATCCTTAGTTTTGAACATGTTGAAATAACGTTATCATAACAAGACATTACTAGTTACATCATGGATCTAAGACTACTATCTTAATCTCATCTTTAAAACTTCTAGTCTTTGGAATGTTTTTATTTCCCATTGGAAAGATTGAAGCCACCCTGTACCGCACTGATGGTTTCATTTAAACTTTTAAAAAACAAATAATTAGCCTACTAAACTATCTTCAGAATCATATCACCTTGTGCAGCTATAATAAATGGTACAGTTGTTTGATAAAAACCAAAAATATTCCCAAGAAATAGTCATTCATTTTCCATCTCCATCTTTCTCCTGCCTTTCTTAATGTGTACTTCAAAAGGAAAATAATGAAACACTGCCATCTGTATGACTTTTTGAATGAAAAAGTTAAACATTTTTTTGATTCCCTTGGTAACTACCAGTAGGTCAAAGCTTAATTTTAAGTAAAGCTTAGTTTATTATTTATCAAAGCATGTACAATATTTTCAGATGGTTTTCTATAAGTTAAAAAAATTGACAGCATAAATTTCTTTCTCTAGTTGTCATATCTTTTAACAATTACAAATCAGTAACTCCTATCCATTCCCATTGTTTTTAAAGCCTCAGTGTGAATTAATTATGATTCAGATTTTCAATCACACAAATAACAGCCAATTTTAATTACTTAACGGAATTTTAGGTTTTAATATTATCTGGGATCTATCATTTTTACTGATGACCTGTTTACTCTTTGTCTATTTGTCGATACTTTCACCACATGGCCTGAAATAGAAGCAGTTTTTTCAATCATGTGACTTTACTATGCAAACTTCTAATAGAATATGATATTAATGCTGATGCTGTGATTTCACCCTCGCCCCCATTACTTTGGTTAATTAATTATTCACATTGAAGTTGAGGTATCAGGGCACCTGGGTGGCTCAGTCAGTGAAGCATCTGCCTTTGGCTCAGGTCATGATCTCAGGGTCCTGGGATTAAGCCCACATCGGGCTTTCAGCTCAGCAGCGAGTCTGCTTCTCCCTCTCCCTCTGTGATCTCTCTTACTTTCGCTCTCTCTCAAATAAATGAATAAAATCTTTAAATAAATAACTTTTTTAAAAAATGAAGTTGAGGTATCAGTCAGTATACAGATCTTCCTGGACTTATGATGGGATTACATCCAGATAAATCCATTGTAAATTGAAAATATCATGAGTTGGGGGGCGCCTGGGTGGCTCAGTCAGTTAAGCGTCTGCCTTTGGCTCAGGTGATGATCCCAGGACCCTGGGATCAAGCCCTACGTGGGGCTCTCTGCTCAGCAGGGAGTCTGCTTCTCCCCATCTCTCTGTCCCTCTCATGCATGCACGCATGTGTGCGCTCTCTCTCTCAAATAAAATCTTTAAAAAATAAAAGAAAATAAAAAGAAATATCACAAATTGAAATTGCATTTAATACATGTAACCTACCAAACATGATAGATTAACCTAGACTACCTTAAATGTGTTCACAGCACTTACATTAGCCTATAGTTGGACAAAATCATCTAACACAAAGCATATTTTATAATAAAGGTTGAATAGCTTATGTAATTTATTGGATACTATACTGAAAGTGAAAAACAGAATGGTTGCATGGGTACAGAATGGTTGTAAGTGTATCAGTCATTTACCCTCATGATGGCATAGATGACTGGGAGCTGTGGTTTGTTGCCACTGTCCAGCATCACAAGAGAGTGTTATACAGCATATTACTAGCCCAGGAAAAGATCATAATCCAAAATTGGAAGTACGGTTTCTACTGAATGCATATAGTTTTCATACCTTCAAGAAGTTGAAAAAATCGTAAGTAGAACCATTAATGGTCAGGGA